ATATCACGTCTTTTGTAGAATAGATCTTGTAGTAGTTATATATCACTTCTTTTGTAAAAGAGATTTTCTAGATATTTTCTAGTATATTATACAATTATAAAACAAACAAAAGTTTATTTGATGCTACTTTTTGATATCACTTTTTTTGTAAAACAATTTTTTTAAAGAAATAATTGTTCGTAGTTTACAATACAAAGAAAAAGAATTTTTTGTAGCATTACATCAAGTTTTCATTTATTATTTAAGGAATAAAAAATTAATTTAAAATTCCTTTCGCAGTTCCTCCAGCAACAGATTGTCCGCGTGAATCCTCAAGCAGATACGTCACAGGATAGGTCGTTTGTATTTTATTGATTTTAAATACTTCGGTCGTCCAATTTGGCGTATATCTTTTATCGAATACTGTTTTAAATTTGCTTACACGTACCGGATCACCTACTTTAAATTGTGCTGGCCCTGCGATCTTGACATTGCTGTACACCGTGGTTAAGAGCTTCTCGGTGATTGCTGGGGTAACATCGATAGGTCGCATACCGATAGTTCGATGTTTTCTCGCGTTGTACTCCATAAGAAGACGCGGTAATAAGGCGATCCATTTGTATGTTCCGTTAAGTGTAAATTGTTTCCACATGTCTTTCTTCAACGTACGGTTGAATTGTTCTACAATTGAAGCCTTTATAACAGAATATGTGGAATAATGATTAATGTTATGCTTCTTCATCAGTGTTTGTACATCTATATTGTATAATTTCTTTCCACGGTCAGTTTGCAAATTGTTTGGACATCGTTTGTTATTCCAAAATATTCCTGCAAAACTTTTGGCGACTTCATATCCATTCTTACTCTTAAGCGGTATAGCCCACGCATACTTGCTCAGCACATCGATAACCGTAAGTATGTAGTGGTAGCCACTGTTAAAACGCGAATACGGACGCATCTTTACCACATCCGCTTGCCAGAGATCATCGTACCCGCGTACGATAACGCGTCTACGGGGAAAATTTCTTCTTGCCGGAGCATGCAATTCTTCTACAAGACGTTGTTTTTCGATTATAGAACGAATTGTCCCCATAGGTGTTTTACTATATGTTTACTCCGGCGTGTCAGTCGTTTTATTTTGGTTTGATAGATATTGAAGTGTACGCTGAATGTGTTTTATAGCGTCGCGCAACGCTTGTACATCCTGCTGCAATGCGATAATTTTTCTCTCACGTGTCTCTTGCCATTCATTCACACTTGTGACACACATATCTACATATCGTTTGTTGGCGGCGTCAGTGTCGGTATCAGATTGCGCTACATGCAGTATCTTACGCGACCTTGCATCGTAGCCGAAACCGACAAAACAGAGAGCGGTATTACGCACGTAATTTCGCAGTATTGTTTCTTTCTATATAATAATACATCGACGCTCCATGTGTTCCGAGCGATATCCCAAATTTGTTGATTGGCATGATGACGCGCACACGACTGACTGACTCTAACGCCGACGCGCTATTTAATTTATAATGAATCCCGCTTCGAGCAGTTTCTTGATGATCGACAGAATTTCGTTGTCATGAGCATTGTTGCCCGTCTGACGGGATGCGTCTAGCAATCGCAGACGGTCGACAAGTTCGTTGGGATTGTCCCAGTGCGCGTACTCGATCTTACGATCGCTTAACGTCATATTACGCGGTATACCTTTCCCCTGCTTAGTACGCACACTGAATATTAAAGGTGCAATTATGTATCTGTATTTGTATCTCTTGTTACCCAGTATTGCACCGAGCCTGTTGTGATGCTTTTTATGAGCATGTATTATTTCCAATATCTTTTTGTATCGTTGTTTATCTTCCTCGGTATATAACTCGCTCTTTGGACATTTCATGAAAATCAATTCGTACAATCCTTGTGTTGCTTTGAATCGTATACCATCTATAATTATTTTATTTTTTGATCATAGTAGTAGATATTTCGAATTGCAGATACAACACTAGTACAAAGGCCAAAATATAGATCGACTTAATTACGGCGCGACTCTCAGGTGATACTACCGTTTTGTACACCGATCCTGACGAGAGTGATTTTGCTCCGATTTGTCGGAACAACCGGCGCACACCGCACGCATGGTTTACGCTAATTGGCCAAAGATCGGCTACACACCAGGGCGCGCGACTAATGGTTTGGGACATCCGACAAGTGGTGCCCCCGCGCTGCCGATCTCTTACAACTCGGCTATCCTATTGTTTACTTCGTCCTCGAAGTTAAATTAATTCATCGCGATTTATATCGCAGTGTGACAATTTCGTGACCGTGCAGTGAATAATGCACAGTGTTTGTGTTTTGCGACTCTGGCGGAACATTTCCAGGTGAGTGTTACAAGTTTTATAGTCAATCTTGCCTATGTTTTCTAGTTACAAGTGTAGCGATTTCACTTGACGCAGAGACAATTCCCGCCTTTTATTGTTATGCCTACAATATAGAATAATTAAAAATACATACAAAGTGATGATAAACAGAGATAAGAGAATTATAATACGTAAAAGAATGTATAAACGGTGTCAAAAGCTCAGTGAGTAACAAGTTTACCCTGTTTAAACATAGTAAATAGTGAGTAGTATGCATCATGTACACAGTGAAAGAATAATATAATAGTAAGTTCGAGTTAATCGACGGGAATATCTTTGATCCATTTTTTTATTTTGTCCGCAGAAAGTACCGTGTTCAGGGGACGCTGGGTTATGTTAAATCCTGGTATGTCACGTATGACATACCTGTTGTTGCCCAGGATTTTGTGGACTACATAAAGCCCTTTATAAAATGGTTTTAATTTCGCGCTTTTGCCAGGTACATTACGCATGTTCCTAATTAAGACGTATTTGCCTTCTTTATATATTGACGGTTTACGAAATCGATTGTCGCTATAGATTTTATTATAATTCCTGATGGCATCTGTTGACTCATTCGCTTTCTCCCGAGCTTGATTTCTCGATTTTTTCAGGTCGGTATCTATATTTACGAGCGAGTTGACAAATTGTGCAAAACGTGCGTTGTCATGGCAACGCTGATCAAAGCCAAACATCAACCGCGCTGGGGTTGACTTTGTTGTTGAATGGTAAGTATTGTTTATGACGTATTGCAAATTGCCAAGTTCTTTCTCCCATTCCGTTGGGAACGATAATAATTTTGTCATTAAATTTTTCAGGAATCTATTAATTCTTTCCACCATACCATTGGCCCACGGCGCCACGACGGCTATGAGTCGGTGTTCGATCGGAAATGTTTTTACAAACTCGGCAAATTCACTTGAGGTAAAAGCGGTACCTCTATCCGTGATTACATTTACCGGTTTACCAAACAACGTAAATATTTTTTCTAATTGTTTTACAACTTTTTTTGTCGTCGTAGATTTCACGGCCGTTAACCATGTGAAACGAGAAAACGCATCGACGATTACAAGCACGTGTTTGTATCGATGCGAAGTTTTCGGTAAAGGACCAAAATGATCTATATGGAGGATCTCCATCGGACTTTTAGGTAATGGATCGAGTGTTCATCGCGCTATACGCGAGTTTAGATTCGCTTTTGTAATTGCATGTACAAGTGCATTACAATTGGTAACGACAGTGAATTGAATACCATATAAATATATATAAAATATATGAAATCTTTCAATAGACTTCACAATGGCCAACATTTCTAATTCGAATGAATGATAATTTTTTGTTGCCTAGTTAGTTGACTTACTGAAATATGCGACGGCGGCAAATATACCGTTTGGCTGTTTTTGGAGCAGAACTCCACCTAATCCTGAGCAGCAAGCGTCTGTGTGAAGCTCTGTCTCCGCCGACGGGTTATATACACAGTTTGTCCGGAAAGTTCCCGGACTACGTGAATTAAAAATCGAAAATGAAAGATATGGTTTATTAAACAAGTTTACACTTCAAGG